AATATTTTAATTGTCAGAAAGATATTTATAAAGAGGTTAAACGAGAAGTTCTCCAAGAATTTTGTTTGTTTAATCGTCATTTATTGACCGATCGTCCAGATGGAAACTGAAATAATCTGGAAGATGCTGTCAGTGACTTAATTGATTTGTGTGAAAAGAATCGCGATTGGAGAAGAAAACGAACAAAGAAGGGGGGAAATATATTGTGCGATTTCTGTAATTGACGAACTTCAATAAACTGAGGAAAAATAATGGAAAAAGTTTATATCCAACATTTTCCACCATTAGCAGTGTTTCATTAGCAAGTTCAAGATTGAAAATTGTTCATCTATTTATATTCGAATCGATAGCTTTATCGTAGTTAACAATCAATAACTAAGTATAAAATGAATTAATTTCTTAATTCACATTCCCTCAAATATATACGCTTATATATATACACACACGCTGTTCTTTACCCATTACAAAAATGGCGAATTCCTATAATTATTTTTATTTTCTGGTAAGAAGTTGTGAAAGAAAAACTCTCTCAAGACTGAATTGCTCGATGTAATTGATAGAGCAAAGACAAGTAATTTATTTTCCCGACCGCTATTTCACACAACTGAAGAAAAATAAATCACGACTTTGCAAGACAAGTTCGCGACTAGCGACTCATGCAAATCGCAACTAATGGAGCATCGTTTTGTCTTCCTGTTGCTGAATATTCCTTCTTTTTTTTCATTATTTGGTAATCAGAATCGAGTGAGAGTGGATGAGACATTTTCAACCGCATTAAAACAACCTCTAAAATCTTTTTTTTTTATTTTTCCTTAATAAATGTAGCAAAAAATTAATTATATTTAAATTATACGCTACTCTAACTTCTTAATTACGATCCTCTTCATTATACTTTCGACTTGAAATTGTTAATAAATTATAGACCGCATCGAATCTGCCAAGTTTATGCATATATAACGACTGATGAATTATGTAAAATCGCAATTTTATATATATATACACAGTGAATTTTTGATAAATTATGATATATTATTGGTCTAATAGAATCGAATTACAAATTCAGCACAGATGACATCTGTCCATTAGCGAAGGTTAAACAGTTTTAATTAAATGGTGATTATGTCCATTCTCATGAATGTTAATCCGAGTGAGAGAAACTCAAGTCTCCGTGTAACGGTTTCTGACTGAATTACTCCTAACGCCATGCAGGGAAGCGTTGTAACAGGATGGAAGTCACCTATATTCGAATTAGCTGTCACAAAATGCATCCCCCATTTTTTCTTTCCTTTCCTCTATTATCTGAAACATTCCGGTTACGAGCACTCTATTATTTTATCTGACAGGCAATATATGTATATAGATAGAGGTAATGCATCTTTAAAGGAATGTAAAAAGCAGAGACATTATCTTTTTATACGGGATCCCTGTCAGAAAAAGGATTTTTGTTGATTTTACAAGGCTTATCTCTAGCGAATGTTTTCTGTATTAAAATAAAAATATCTCTTACAGTATCTACTGTATATACTTCCTTCTTTATACGTAAATAGGACTATGTATACAAATTTAATTATTTATAAAATAAAATTTTAAAAAATGGGTTAAAGAAAAATATTTAAATTTAATTTTTAATTTAAAATCTATTATTTAATTTCAATCTCGTTCGATTTTCCATTTGTTTTATTACCCCAGTTTTTATTTTATTTTATTTTCCCGTTACAATTTTTAAAGATTTTTACATCGATTCTTCAGATTTGTAACGTCGTTTTTGATTGTTTTTCTTTTTTTAAAAAAGATAAATGTTTTATTTACAAAAAATAAATTATAAGGAAGATTGCCGTGTCAAAAAGCGAACAATCTTCATACAAGATAATCTTCTTTTATATAGATTGCTCCTTATGCTATCTGATACGGGTCAATAGCTAAAGACAATTGTCAGTTTGGTACAAGCCAGCTAGCATCAATTTGTCGACTCACCATTGGAAGACATCTGGCTAGATAAAATTAGGTCTTCTTATACTAGAGACGTATTGAGAAAACAGAGTTGACTATAATTCCAGCTGAGCGTGAACGTCAAAGACACATGATAGAAGTTTCTCAGTTTTTAATCTCTTGGGAATTTCTATGTTAGATTTATTTAGGGGAAAGTGTTTCTTCCAGATAATGAAAACAGGCAGAGGAAATTTTCTCATAATGGATAAAGATGTAGAATCCATACTATATATATATATATATATATATATATATATATATATATATATATATATAGGAGAATATAATTTATTGTTTTTCATTTTCGACATTCCAAAACAGCTGGGTGATGGTTCTTCGTGACACCATATGACGTACATAAATCAAATATGATTTTCAAGTAGACTCAACTAGCAAGCTGACGACGATACACAAGGAAAAATTTAATGTCTTGATTTAAGTGAAAGCATCAAAGTCAACAGAAAGATGTCTTCTTATCTTTTGTTGAGTTTTTAAACAGGAAATTTTCACTTCTGATGTTAGAAAGTACATAATAAAAAATTTCATTCCTTAAGGAAGTCAAACATCTTTCGAAATGTATCCGTATAAAAAGTGAGTGAATACAAATCCTTAAGACGAAGTGTGGCTATTATTCTTGTACCTGACAGATCGAATGAAATATTTACAATCGACTGTAAAAAATCTAGACACACACTACTTTAACTTTTATAAATATATTGAAATATAGAATGGCAATATTTTAAATTTAAATATTTCAAAAAAGCGTTTAGAAAAATATCAACTCGTTCAAATTATCAACAACCAATTTTTATCGAGTAAAACTCTTGATTAGTATGTTTTTTTTTCCTTTTAAGAAAAAAGGAAAAGAAATATATAGCATTAAGAATGTCAGCTATTCAGTTATTCTGTTCGAGTTTTGCAGTGAATTTTGACACCAGTAATATTATATTTGTGATTGAAGATCTGAATTCTTCGTACAATTTTCTGGGTAGTTTCCATTACTGATGATGACAGTCAGTAGTTCGTGGACTGAATGTCAAACAACCCGAAGACCTTCTATTTTCTTCAACTACGATATACGATAAGACATTGTCAAACGTTATGTATCCTACATCATTTTTTTTCTATGACCATTTTTATTTATGAAACTTGCAAGCTATTGTTAGTCTCTCGTAATCTTACATAAATGTTTACGTATAAGCAGGTGTAATTCTGATAGGAACTTGTTAATGTTCTAAATTTATTTCTTGTAGATTGTAATAAAAATTCTTACATCGCAAACGACGATGTGATAAAATATAAATAGAGTCTTTTATTGGCAGTATTCACTTCCTATCTGAAAATTGACGATAATAATAAAGTTATGAAGCAGCCAGCCATAATTACAAATGAAAATTTGTTAATAAAAAAATGTAATAGAGATAATGGAACGAAATTTTTCCACGCAAAAATTTATTTTTCTAATTTTAAAAATTCTTTTTAATCATTTTTAAACATTAAAAATATATTTTTTCCTCTTGTTTTTATGTTAAAAAATATATATGTTTTTCGGTAAAATAAAAATTAAAATTTTTCGAAGCGTATTTTGTAGTATTTTAAATAAAATAAAACAAGCGAAACAAAAAGTATGTCTTTGCAAAAACTTATAGGCAATGTTTTCGACAACGTTCATTTTTGCTCGGAAAATAAAGTAACGTTTGCTGTCAGCTAAAACGTAGGCCTGTCAAAATGTCACAAGAAATGTCAAAAGCCGAGAAATAAAAGAATATACAACAATACAGTAACCTAATTTACTGTCTACTATCGAAAAAGAATTTTAAAATACCACCTCGAAGAATAAATTCTTGCTATAGTCAAGACAGGTGTTTCTGATTGATGGCAGAATTCGCGCTCCACTATTCTTAGCAACCTTACCCCCTTTTCACAATCAATTCTTCAAATCATCTTACAATTTACTTTAGTAAATAATCTAACTTTTACTAAAAATATCGCCCGGATAATTTTAACAAATGGATTTTATGAGAAAAACTGAATTGGTCTAGAAAACTTTTCTAGAACAAGCGAAAAATTATATAAATGTTTTCATAATTTAATTCTTTGGAGAGATGTTTTTTGTTTTGTTTTACAAATTATTTTACTGTTATTTTTTAAAAAATTACTACTGATTTGTAACTAATTCTAAGTAATATTATCGATTGAAAGTACTCTTTACAGGTTAACTATTCTATGAAGAAAATATAAATAAAGAAAACATATTATCAAATTTCAATTATTTTCATTAGTGCGTAAAATATTAAATTTTAAAGTGGATTATTAAATTATATTTAATAAAATAAGAGAAGAAACGAAACGGATAAATCACAAATTATGCGTCAATGTGGTAAGCTCTAAGCATGGAAATGCAGGAACAATCAAATACGCATGGGATTTTCATTAATCTGATTGATTAGTGACGTAATCGTTCGAAGCGTAATAATGATGCTATTCATTAATCAATTAGATTAATGGAAGCCTCTACCAGATTTTTGATTTAGACCTACGTTTGATTCACCATCAAATTTTTTGTAAATTAATATTTATATTTAAATATAGTATCTCTATTTATTTAATGTATATTTTTAATGTATAAACTGATTTAATAAACAAAATTACATTAATTAACTACGTAAACAGATTATGTAAATTACGTGTAAACCATATTTTAAAACCACAAAAAATTTCTCCCAAATTTTAATAAGAATTGAAGTCAAACCCTTTATTAGTGACACAATTACCCTTCCTATAATAGATACGTACTGTACTTTAGAATTTGGCATTTGATCAAAGAGTTCGGTCCCCATTTGGGACCAAACATAAATCTTTTTTAAACCCAAATCCCGATTCCCTTTTTTTTTATGGGGGAAAAATCAATACTTACACTTCGAGTGGCCTTTTATAGTAATTCAGTCACTCAATTATTCCACGAAAACACGACAATTGTAAATTTATAAACAACACGAGCCTTTACTTACCCATGAAATACGAAAGTTGAACTTGCTTCCTGTACGTCGTTCCCGGTATTGTTAATATACACTCGAACATCACCGTATCCTCTTGACAAAGTTCATCATCGTTGAATGTTTTACTTATAAAAATATTGTAGAAATTTTCAGTTTTTGAAGTCTGAATTTCGATATCGTTGATCTGTTTACTTTCGTCCGTGATCATTTCGTACATATTCATGACAGGTTTGGGATATATACCTTCTGCTTCACACGTTACCTTCAACATATCTGGAGCTGGTTTAGTAAAATTGAAATCAAACCTCTTAGCAGGAGCTGAAAAAAGTATACATATATAAATATATATATTATAATATAAACTGTAAAAACAATTTAGCATTCAATTTAGAAATGGATAAAATATATAAAAGTTTTCTAAAAATAAATATAAAGAGAAAAAATATTTTATGTTTTTATTACATATAAAGTTGAATTTTAATAAAGAGAAATCCAAAGAATCTATTATTTTTTTTCCTTTGTTTTCGTAAAATTTAGATGACAGAATTCAAAAATGGTTCGCTACTATCTCCAGTGTGCAATAGGTTCTAAATCTGTGAGAGGAGAGAAGATATAGAGAGGCAAGCATTCGAATGACACACCAACTAACTTAAAGTGTTTGACTACAACGTTGAGTTGTAGTCACACATCACCGTTAGAATCTACTCAATCTGTAATTTATTACTTAGACTAAGTCTGAAAATGGTGTAATCAGAGTGTGGGGAAAGACAGCTGCATGCAGTTTGTCCTCTCACACTTGTCACATTATGTTCTCAAAGTAATAAAACTTTATCACAAAAATCTTGTATAGAATCGAGAGATGTACTTATCATTTGTTTCTACGACGGTCTTTACGAATATAAATTATCTCCTCATTTAAATAAATGCTTTAAATATTTTTAAGAGAAATTAAAATGATTCGTTTTAATTATTTTTATTTTCGAAATTTTCTATTTCATAATGACTTTTACAAATTTTCTACATAAATTTTAAAATATTTTCCAAATAAATTTGCCTTATTACTTTTCGCAGAATTTTTAAAATATGATGAGTATTTTCATTCTTACCGTAAACTATCATAAACTTTTCGGCCAGATCTTGTCCTAATAAGGAGGATACGTGACAGGAATATTTTCCACTTAATTCTACCGTGGGGCGAATGATATTCATAGCACGATATTTAGTGAATCGATCGGATTGAGAAACCATATATTCTAAATTAAGTCGGTTTTTAAGTCTTTCACTAACATGTCGTTGGTTTATTTCTGGTATCCACTGGTACAGAGGCTCTGGATCATCATTCAGATACCACTTAATAACCAGCCTTTCGTCTTCTTTGGTATAATTATATTGACAATCTAAAATAACGGAATCTTCTGTACCGTTTTCTATTAAAGATGGAACAGATAATCTTGTGATTGTCAGTAGCATCACATCTGAAAAATTCAAAAACTTTATTATTATTCTCTTCCGAATTTAAATAAACTGAAAATAAAATTCATGTAGAATGCAAAAATCTCATATTNTTAATACAAAAAGAAATAAATTCTTTAGATGTCTTTCAGTTCACTTTTCTCATTCAGTGAGAAAAATCAAATCTGTTTTGGGCTTCAGAAAGTGCACTGAAATCAGGTCGAACGTATGCCTCCTCGTCTGGTGAAAGTTCTATTTGAGGGGTTCTTATTTTTCAATATAAGTCTACACTTATTTTCATTTTGAACAATATTTTCTATTTTTGTTTTTAAATAAAGAAACTGTTTAATAAGAGAAATTAAACAGAATTTCGTCCTCGTATAATATTAATATGATTTGTTTTCTTAATGTTTTTATTTACATATTTGTGTGAGGTATATTCGCTTCGTTTCAAATATTTTTTTATAATTTGTCACGCAGTGTTTATTTATTTATTTGTTTAGAAAGTATATAGCCTATTTATTGTGGTCAATACAGAACTAAAGCATTGAATAAGTTCCATATGAAAACTCGTTCTACTCCGGATATATGTAAAATTATTATTTAATATTTAAATATACACACAAAAAAATATAATATAAAGTATAAAAATTTATTAATGCAATATAGGAAATATTTAATATTATAGCATAGTATATAAAGAGAATAATTTTCTGAGTTTTGTATGAAGAAAAGTTAACATATAAGAAATTTAAAAAGTGTTATTCGTATTGATATAATGCAAATTGTTTTCTAAGAAAGTGATCTTTATGGACTTTTATCCGTTAACTGACTTTTGGACCGCCCTTTACCTACTTCATTTTATTTCTTAAATCTTAATTTTAACAGAAGAAAATACAAACTTTGAACTAAATATAAAGCTGAAAACCTTCTTATTCAATTCAAAATTTTTAATTATACTTTAGTATAATTAGTTTTATTACTTGGTAATTAAAAACAACAAATTGTTTTTAATTACTGAAATATTATCATTATTAGATAAACAGTAAAAAGGAATTTAACATTTAAAAAAAGAGTATATTGGAGACTATACAATTAATTTACGATTTAATTGAAACTTTAGTACAAATCTGCAGTTATTAATTAAAAGTATCCAGAAGCATCTGTAAAATTTATAACTTATGGAACGATTTGTTTACTTCTAGCAATTAGATAATTAATATATGTAGAGGATTAATAGAACTTTACAACGAAATGAAATTAACTTTCGAATGTCTTAACGTTTTCAAACGATTAATTAAACTTTGTAACAATAAGGTCTCTGGGTAGTTATAATATTTAAATTTATAATATAATTATCAATATTTTTCTGCTGCTAAGACACAACTTGGTACATGCGGGAGTAATACATTTTTGTATATTTATGCAAATTGTCAAAGTTTTTACGATATGAAAAACTAATCCCGCTTTTCATTATCGTGTTCTGGGATTTAGAAAAGCTAAGGATGTCATTAGAAGAACATCCAGAGCTAGTTTACCCGATGTGACCAGTGTATCTTATATAACGAGCTAAAAATGATTTTAACTTGTATATAGACAGGATGTGATAAAGTCTGCTAGATAATGTTGTCCAGCCATTTTACGGCTCTCCAGGGCTTCTTAACGGATGTTTATTTTGTCCTCTGAGACTTCTAGTAGATACAAGACAGTGCCTGATTAGGAGATCTATGAACCGACACAAAACGTACCATAGTTGCTAGTTAAGAGGTACACTATCAGCGAAAATTATGAAGCTTTACCGTTATAATTACTTTATATAATAGATATTGTAAGTTTAAACTCGAATTAATTTTATAGCCGGATAGGAAAAAGTATAAAACAATATTTAAAATGAAAAATGATTTTACGACATTCCCAATTTTACGAGGTATCAAAATACAGGGAATATATAAATTATTACTTTGTAAAATATTTTTATTATTATTATTATTACTTAAAAGTGAATTTCGAACAAAATATTTTAAGAAAACTGTACGAAAAATAAAATATATATATGTATATTAAAGAAATGAAACAAATGCATAAATTTAATCAAAATATTCTGTAAAAATTTTATTTATAAAACTTTATTATTAATTCCTATAATAAATATTTCTTGTATGAATTAGTTATAAAGTTTCATATAATATATATATAATTATATTTCAAAAATATTAAAACCGTTTTAACTAAAATGAAATAAAAATTTTAATCTCCACATTTTATTGACGTTATTCACGAATTGTAATTTTGTACATTGATAAACAATAAAACAAAAATTAAGTAAATTTACTCGTCTTAAATATATTGTTACATATGAATAAATAAACTGAAGTAAAGTTTACTTTTGTTTATTTTCGATGATGAAACTTTTAAACTTTGATTAATGGTAGTATAAAAAATTTTTTAACAATTGATTATTTCAATAGAGCAATTTTCTATTTTATAGTTCAGTAAACTATAGTTGCATGTTGTTTTGAGTTTCAGATTTCATTGATGGACTATTAGAGAAAGAAATAGTTTTTGGGGTTATTTTAAAGAAATATGATATCATAATGCGGTTTTTAAGAAAATTCTTCCGTGCAGTAAATAGTAAAATTTTCACGAGTGGCTGAATTACTTTAAAATTTCCATGCTTTGTTAACGTTCGTACCTGAATCTGACATTACTGAATGGAGAAAGAAATTGGTTTACGCCTGCAAATGTTGCTTTCCTGCATAACCATGCAACAATGCGGATAAGCCACAAACGATAACTAAATCATTTCACTTGGTTGCTTGCCTTGTGTCATCACATAATATGTCAAACGAGATCGCATTACCCAACACTTGTATTACAAACTTGCAATTTTGTATAAATAAAAATCATTCTCGTCGAATAAGACTTTACAGAAGTTTTGCCCACTTCACAATTTACCTAAGTGAAATCCCATAGTTGAATAAACACCAAAGAATTTCTGCTTTTGTAAACTTGATGCTGAAAACGCGAATGAATAAACTAAATTACGTTCTTCATTTGACACGAAAAGCCTTTAATGTTTGGACACTATTTCTAATTTTCACTATTTAAGAGTGCTAATTAACTAGAATTAAATGGAAGAAAAGTGTTGAAAACACTTCTACTCTTTACTTTTTATTACAAATACTTAAAATTTTAACACTATTCTTGGAAAATAAAAATAAATATAATCTACTCTTGTGTAAGTTGTTGGAAAAATAAATTATTGAAAATTATTTTTTAAATAGTTTTTAAATTATATTATTAATTTTTAAAAAAGAAACTGGTAATTCATTTCTCATTCTAATTGTATTCTAATTTATTTTTTTAAATTAAAGTTTCCAAATAAAAATAGATCGTATGTGCCATCAACTAAATATGTTAACAAGGTCATTATGATGTAAATTAAATAGATGCTATTTGGGTGCATAATAGAGACACAATCGCGTCACTTTAAAGAAAACAGTTGTGGCTGTAAAAGGACTATCTTTTTCAACTAAATTCTTCCTAAATCCTTAGCTTCCACTGCTATACTAAAGTGATGAGGATGAAACTAGATAGCCCTGTGTTGTACGGAAACTAATACATCACCTTAACTACCAGACTACTAGGATAACGTTCATTGAAATTCAAAACTGCCTTTCCTTAATTCTACTTTTTGGAATCAGTCCAAGGTATCTTTTCTATTCGTGTATGATGGAAAGCTTCGATTAATTTTCCCATCAATGGGTTAAATCAGCTTTCCTTCCACGACATTGATCCGCGATATTCTGATGAATAACTAAAAAAAATCAAACGTCTGTTTTAGACTTTAATATATGCAGTCAACTAGCTAAGATTGCTAGACGTAAGTTGGCTGCTGAGGAATTTGCATCTTTGAATCTCTAGTCTTGTCACGAGTATTTACTTTGACTTACTAACTATTAATCTAAATTCCTTTTACAACTAAAAGAAATTTATATAGCGTTCCAATTATTCCTTAAATTGTTACTCTCTTACATTACTTTAGTATATATTATCTTTAAGAGTTCTCACTTTCAACTTTTTATTTTATCATTTTATATTCAACACAGACACGCTTAATTTATTCTGATTTCTGTTTCTTTTTATGATTAACCAACCTATAATATATATATATATACACAGAGAGAGATATTTTATTCAGTTAAAAATATTTTTCAAATATATCTCTTGAATATAAAATATTTAAAATACAGCATTCTATAAATAATATTCATTCAAAAGTAAACAATGAACCACTTTAAAATTTAAAATGTTAAAAGCGAATCCTTCTCAAAGAATATTTTATGGTGAGGTATAAATGTTTTGTCGACTTATAGTATACTTATTTATTTACTATTATCAGAAGGACAGATTTATATATAATAAATCAATCTAAATATCTCTGTTTCATTATAGATTATTGTTTAAATACTGTATATCATTTTAAAAGCGCAAAAATAATATCTATCTTCCTAAAAAAAACTTTCCTTTTCGGCAAACAACTAAAGTTGAATAATCTATTTTCACTGTGTTTCTTCTAGCTATATTTTACAACAGTATTGGTATAAATAAGCGAACTGTCAAGACAGAGTGAAATCCGTAAGTAACAACTACAATTTCAATGTAGGCCCTTGTAAAACTTGATATCACAGATCAGATTCGCAGTGGCGACAAGACTAGGATCTTTGTCGACTACTGCAAGCTTGCCCGTCAAAGCTGTGATGAATGTTCTTCATACATACGTATGGGTTTCTGTAAGCTTCCAATGACGTGCCTCGGGAACTAAACCTTCGACAAGCTTCAACATAAAGCACGTGTAAAAACTTTACCTACTGATCAAATCTCCGAAGCCAGAAACTGAGAGGATCTAAATTGTGGTTTACTGGCATGTGACACGGGATAAGAGTTTTATTTTCGATTGAAGATACTTTAAAGTAATATCGTTATTTAAAATACCGATGCAGAAGGATTTAAAATGACTTCT